CCCCTGCTGATGATATCAGAATTTTCTCTAAAATAAATATGACTTCATTTGTATACTTTATTCAGTAACATTCACTGAATGGCTATTGAAAATAATCTAATTTAGAGCTGAAATCTTCATACAAAGGCAGAACTCTTCTAAAGCCTAATTTTGAAAAGGGCTACAGGATGAACCATGTGGTAGGACCCTTGACATTCTGAAAACTTATGTAACTTAACCCACTCTTCGTGATTGTGTCTAGGGTGAATATGTACCTAAGTCATGGTTCACCACTTCTCTTCTGAGGACATAGCTTTTAGAATGAGCTGAAACTAAATATCCTGTCATTCACCCCTGGGAGTGGCCTTGAAATAAAGTGCAATCAGAAAGGGAAAAACAACAAAAATGCTTAAACACATCTGAAGAGCTCAGATTGAAAAGAGGTTTTCTCCTACATCTATGTGCACACATCACAAGATCACAGTCTTCTCGTTCAAACATATTGGTATTCTGGGACCTTAAATCATCACTACTTGATACTTCTTTTCTTATGTTGCTGGTTCAAGGATACTGAAATATGTGGCCACATTTTATATGTTGAGATCTCTCTTTGAAAGTCTCATTCCCTTTACAGACGTGGACCACATTGTCCTGCATAGTATCTTGAACCTCTACAAGGACTTATGAACCAGTCAGAAACATAAAGGTATGTGCATGTGGATTCACTTGACAAAAGAAACCAAAATATTCGTACAATCTATCATTACCCTGGCTTATAAGACATTTCAATATCAACCTCAATTGAGGACAATGACTATACACTATCGAGGACTTTAGGCTTAAACAAGAAAGGTAACTTTTCTGCACGAGGGCCAAAAACCCATTTTCCAAAATATCTTCCCTGGCCCTGGAGTTCTTTCTACTCAGGGCCCGGGTACTGTCCCTGAGCTTTGGTAATACAGGAACAAAAGTGTTGACAGTCTATCAACTTCATTCACAGCACTACTTGTGGGAAATTTGGTGATAATTGGCCATAACACTTTTACAGCTATTCCTACCTAGTTTGCCTTTCAATTGTGATCTTTAAACCTCATACTCTTGAGCAAGTAAGAATTCTGATGTGAAGCACCAGTGCCCTGTTAGATCAGGAGATCTTAATTACTTGATCCAAACAGGACTCATGGTGTCCACATAACAGGATATAAAATTCATAACATCATATAGCCATATGCAAAGGTCCTTTTGAAATCACTTGGTAAAGGTCTGTTTACCTATCATTGGCTAAACCACACCCAAATCCTCCACTAAATATTTGGAAGAATGTAGTTGTTACACGTACCTCATTATTGGTCCTCAGGTTGAAATCAGGGGCAAAAATTTGTGAGACTTCCTTTACCTTCTATACAAGATGACCTTTTGTATCACTGATTTTTCACCTTAGGGTCTTGCTTCTCTGCCTGGACCTTTCAATACACTAATTTTATAATTACATATCAGAAGTAGTAAAAAGATAGGCATATATAACCAGAGCCATGCTTTTATTGGCTAAGATACCATTTTCATGGAGCTTTTGCATGGGATGGCCTACAAAACTATCTAATTTCAGCTTCCTGAGTAGTTAGGATTCCACACATGAGGGAGTGTAATTGCTCATTTTTAATTGCTGGTCTGAAATTAAAAGAGGAAAGGGTACTTTACCAATTCAGTGAGCATTAAGTCCCTTAAATTCTGAGTTCAAGCAAAGTCTTGGCCAAATGATAATAGCAAAAATAATACAAAGCCTTAATAAAATATGTTATCATCAGGCATACTTTTAATGAATGTGGTATTTTGGTTCATAATTTGAGGTATATAACAGGTCTAGGTAGGACTCCAGTCTGTGAACCATCCCTTCTCAGAAAGCATACAGTTTGTAAATATGGGAGAATGAGCGATTTCCAAATGGATAGTGTGTGTGTGTGTGTGTGTGTGTGTGTGTGTGTGTGGTACAAATAGGAAGGCCAAGGGCACAGGTGCCTCCCAATCCCATTTTTTTTACTAGGCCTCTGTAGATAAGCAGAAGGGTTTGCCTGGGAAGGTAGCTCAGTGTCAGAGCACTTGCCATGCATGCATGAGGTCCTGGGTTCAATTCCCCAGCACCACATGAGCAAAAAAAAAAAAAAAGCTGGAAGTGGCACTGTGGCTCAAGTGGTAGAGTGCAAGCCTTGAGCTGAAGAGCTGAGGGACAGCACCTAGGCGTAGAGTTCAGGCCACAAGACCGGACCCCCCATCCCAAAAAAGTAGAACGGTGAACAGTGTGATGGAAGGGGTTAAGTGAGCACCTAGCTAAATCTTGCAATATGAACTCCACTGTTCTTATCTTGTAAATGGAATCATAGGCACGATTTAAGGATTCCTTTTTTTATTGTGAAAATACTGTAAAGAAGAGTTATTATTTTTGAACAATTCAAATAAATACTGAAATTGTTGAAGCCGCAGGAAGCCTGAGCTGAAGCACTGAAGGAAACCTCATGTTCCCAGAGAGAGATTTCTTCAGAACAGCCCACAGGCCTCATGCTTTGATTCCTAGCTTTTATGGAGACCAAGATGAGAGAATCTCCTTTGAAGCCAGCTTTGGCTGGCTTCAACTCAGTTCCTGAGTTCAAAACCTCATATTGGCACAAAAACATTCCTTCATGAATGTAACCAAACAGCTCTAGACATATCTAGAATGACTGGCTTATATAGGATCTGGAGCCTTGGTCTTGGTTTATTAATTAAGCTCTTTCTGATGTAACAGAAATTGTTTCTAAATGCCTCCAGGATATCTTTAATTACATAACTATACAGTGGCATTGATCTTGGCTCTAGAAATTCTAAATTTAGGTCAAACTTTCTGTTTCTGTAAAAGAAGACACTATATTTGTTCGAAGCCACATTATGGTAGATGGAATACTGGAGTCTATTTCACAGCTAGCAGTCTGCAAGCAGCCTGTTCTAACAAAGGCATGCAGTCCACAAATACACTTAGACAGCTTGGAAATAGGACAGAAAGGGGGGGGGGAGAGAATAAAAACAGCACCACAAAACCAATCAGCACCAAGAAAGTGATGAATTGGGACACTGGATGACCAGAGACAAGCCAGGAGAAAGCACACAGGACATGATCACAGAGACATGTGGCATGGCATCTGGTGCCACTGCTGGGCCAGCCTAAATAGGGCCTAAGCAGGAGGCAGATCTACAGGAAATTCCCAGTCCAGGCACTGGACTATCAGATTGAGTAACATCAGCCAAATGCCCCTGCCTGCTTCCAGGGATCCAGCCACACCCATCAGTTGGGAGGTAAGTGATGGATGGGGCATTTCCTTCCCCCTGCATGAAAACAAGATGCCAGACCCCACCATCTACCATGTGGCCAATAGGGCACCAGCCACACCTGACCTCCTTACTTAATATTACTGTATTATTAAATCAATTTATAAAATGTTACATCCTCTTTATCGTTTTGTAAATATTCAAAAATTTGCTTTTTGTAAAAGCCATATTTCTTGAGCTCTACCTCTGAAACAATAATTCTCACATTCACCAAAAATTAAACATTCTTCTTTTGAATAGTTTATTTCTTCCTTCTTCCTCATTCCTTCCCTTCCTCTTTCCATCTCTCACTTCCCTACTCCTTCCTTCCTTCCTCTCAGAGTCTAGAAGTGATGCTGTACCTCAAGTGGCAGACGATTTTATTTCTTTGTTAACTTCAATTTTTGTGAGAGATTGATCAATATCTTTGTGTGCGTGATTATTTCCCCTAATGTCATATCTACGTTGGCCCTCTATGAGATAACACAGGTGCGACACATCGTCCACACTGGTCTTTTATTATAGCTCACTCAGCAGAACAACTAAATGGGCTAAAAGTGAATCAATCAAAAGTTTTTCATCACCAGTGATTAATTAAAGAAAAGTGCAAGCACTGAAGACACTTTGGGGTTCTCCCCCAAGACAAAATGCAGGGCTGCAAAGGTGGGTCAGTGGTAGAGCGCTTGCCTTGCATGCTCGAGGCCCTGGGTTCGATTCCTCAGCACCACATAAGCAAAAAGAAAGAAAAAGCCAGAAGTGGTGCTGTGGCTCAAGTGGTAGAGCGCTAGCCTTGAGCTTAAGAGCTGAGGGACAGTGCCCAGGGCCAGAGTTCAGGCCCCACGACCGGACCCCCCCCCAAAAAAAAATGCAGAGAATCTAGTCTTTATTAATCCATAATATTTTTTAAATATATATTTTATTGTAAAGATACTGTATCGATTGTTTATACCATTATATGAGTTAGGTCATTAATACATTTTCTATCAAGCATTGTTACCCCTCCAAGAAAGACTTTACTACTGTTATGACTTTTTTTGGAAAACCTTTCCAATTTTTCTACATATGATTTTTCTCCTCTTTGTGTGTGAGGGTGTATGTGTGTCTGTGTGTTTTGTGTGTTCTGTGATGAACCCTGAGCTGTGTCTTGTAGTTCGAGGACTCTACATCTGCTATATCATAAGGTCTCTATCCTGTATTGGTTCTGTATTGCAATTTCAATTTTCTTACAGATCAAAGACTTTCCCCATTTGGTACAATCCTAAGTTATTTCATTTGTGTGAATCAACTTATGTGTGTTAAGCTGTCTTTCCACATTGGCCACATTCATATGGTTTCTCTCCTTGTGTCTGTGATGGATGTTAAGTTGTGCCTTCCAGGTGAAAGAATTTCCATGCTTGCTACATACATAACATTTCTCTCTGGTTGTTTTTTTTCTGATGGACAGAAAGGTGTATGTTCTGCATGAAAGATTTTCTACATAGGTCACATTCATAAAATTTCTCTCCTGTGCGTGCTCTCTGGTGGATAGTAAGTTGTAGCTTCTGGCTGAAAATCTTTCCGCAAATATGACATTCATAAGGTTTCTTTCCTGTGTGTATTATCTGATGGACATTGATGCTTGACTTCCAAGAGAAGGACTTTCCACACATGTTACATTCATAAGGTCTCTCTAATGTGTGTGTTTTCTGGTGCATAGTAAGGTTACCTTTATGGGTGAAAGACTTTCAACACAAGTTACATTCATACGTTTTCTCTCTAGTATGTGTTCCCTGATGGAGATTAAGAGTTGATTTCTTGGTGAAAGATTTTCCACACATCTTACATTCATAAGGTTTCTCTCCTGTGTGTGTTCTCTGGTGCAGAGTAAGATATGCCTTGCAGGAGAAAGACTTTCCACAAATGTTACATTCAAAAGGTTTCTCTCTAGTATGTGTTCTCTGATGGAGATTAAGATTTGATTTCCTGGTGAAAGATTTTCCACACATCTTATATTCATAAGGTTTCTCTCCTGTGTGTGTTCTCTGGTGCAGAGTAAGATATTCCTTACAGGAGAAAGACTTTCCACAAATGTTACATTCAAAAGGTTTCTCTTTTGTGTGTGTTCTCTGGTGGCGAGTAAGGTTTGATTTCTCGGTGAAAGACTTTCGACACACGTTACATTCATAAGATTTCTCTCTATTATGTGTTCTCTGGTGGCGAGTAAGCATTGATTTATGGATGAAAGACTTTCCACACTTGTTACATTCATAAGGTTTCTCTCCTGTGTGTGTTCTCTGGTGGAGAGTAAGATATGCCTTCCAGGAGAAAGACTTTCCACAAATGTTACATTCAAAAGGTTTCTCTTTTGTGTGTGTTCTCTGGTGGACAGTAAGGTATGTCTTCCAGGTGAAAGACTTTCCACACTTGTTACATTCATAAGGTTTCTCTCCTGTGTGTGTTCTCTGGTGGTGAGTAAGCATCGATTTCTGGGTGAAAGACTTTCCACACATGTTACATTCATAAGGTTTCTCTCCTGTGTGTGTTCTCTGGTGTCTAGTAAGATATGTCTTGCATATGAAAGATTTTCCACAAATGTTACATTGAAAAGGTTTCTCTTTTGTGTGTGTTCTCTGGTGGACAGTAAGGCATGTCTTCCAGGTGAAAGATTTTCCACACATGTTACATTCATAAGGTTTCTCTCCTATGTGTGTTCTCTGGTGTCTAGTAAGATATGCCTTCCAGAAGAAAGACTTTCCACACATGTTACATTCAAAAGGTTTCTCTCCTGTGTGTGTTCTCTGGTGTCTAGTAAGATATGCCTTCCAGAAGAAAGACTTTCCACACATGTTACATTCATAAGGTTTCTCTCTTGTGTGTGTTCTCTGGTGTCTAGTAAGATATGCCTTCCAGGAGAAAGACTTTCCACAAATGTTACATTCAAAAGGTTTCTCTTTTGTGTGTGTTCTCTGGTGAACAGTAAGCTTTGATTTCTGGATGAAAGACTTTCCACAAACCTCACATTCATAAGGTTTCTCTCTAGTATGTGTTCTCTGGTGGACAGTAAGCTTTGATTTCTCGGTGAAAGACTTTCCACACTTGTTACATTCATAAGGTTTCTCTCCTGTGTGTGTTCTCTGCTGTCTTGTAAGATAAGCCTTGCATATGAAAGATTTTCCACAAATGTTACATTGAAAAGGTTTCTCTTTTGTGTGTGTTCTCTGGTGGACAGTAAGCTTTGATTTCTGGGTGAAATACTTTTGACACATGTTACATTCATAAGGTTTCTCTCCTGTGTGTTTTCTTTGAGGGACAACAGGGTGTTTCTTCTCAGTGAAAGACTTTTCACACTGTTTACATTCATCAACTACAGAAGACACATGAGTACTATATGCAGCACACATCTTACCAGGTTCACTGAAAATACTCATGCTCTGACAGCCAGTGACCTTTTCTATCCTCATCCCTAAAGAGTTCCCATTATTCTTAATCAGTTCTGACTTCTGTATGGAGCTCAAATGAAAACTTCTTATAAGTCTCACTTTTTCCTCCCCTGGGTTACTATTCATGATTGCTACTTCAGAGAGATATTTATTGTGACGTTCCTGGCAGGTGCTAATCACATCCTCCATTTCTGGGACATCTAAAATGAATAATAGAAAAATAAACAAAAACATAAATGAGATCCATATATTCCTTAATGTAAAGATATTTCCTCACATTCATTTACAATATTTTCAAATATCAAAGCATTGCTTTATGCAGAATGTATATATTTCTCTGCAGTGTAGTAATTCAGAAAGTAGTACTGACATTTACAATGGAAAATAATGTTTTTCTGTATTTCAGATTTTTATATTTTTTTAAAGGAAATATTTACTCAAATTATTTATCTCTGTACTCTTAATGCTTCCATTCTGAATCTCCCTCTATGCCCAGCACCACTGATAAGAAATTGTCCTGATCCTATTTTCCTCCTACCTGCAAAATACTAGTTTAAAATGAGATCTCCTTACTACATTTTTTATTGTCTTTTTCTCTTTATGAATGACTTCTCTACAGACAAAGGGAATTGCTAACATGAACTACACTAGAACATCAAATTCATTTTCTCTCCACGAGAATCCTGGATTGACAATTCCTTGAGACAAAGGATCACCTAGTTCTCTTCCATACATGAATCAAGGGCACTAGGAATACTATTGCTCTGTACAGCTCAAGAGAAACAGACCCACTGGGCTTTGGACCCAACATCACTATTCAAGATGCTTTAACTCACCTGTGAAATTCTCTTCTGAGTCTTCTCTCATCCATGGTTCTGCACCTTGCTCCAGCTTCACAATCAATATAGGTTTAGGAACACAGTGCCCTGTGAGTAAGAAAGAGTGGAGAACTATTGCTCTTGCTGGGTCATCATTAATGTAATGTTGCAGATATCCTGTTCACTGGTTTCTCCTAAATCTGGTTTCTCAATTGTTTTATTTTTTGGGAAGTGGGATCGGTTTTGGGGCATGAACTATGAGCCTGGGAGCTGTATCATACCTCCTAAGCTCAAGGCTAGCACTCTACCACTTGAGCCACAATGCCAATTCTGGCTTTTTTTTTCTGCTTTTTTGGTGCTGAGGAATCGAACACAGGGCCGCAAGCATGCAAGGCACGGGCTCCACCACTGAGCCACCTTCCCAGTCCATGGTTTCTCAATTCTTAACATCTCCATGGTGTACTTTCCCGCAGCTTTGGGTTTATTTTCCCAATGTGTGGCTTGGACTCAGCTCTTTTGCTCAAATCTAGCATTCTACTACTTTGTGTCTTGGCTACATTTCTAGTTTTTGAATGGTTAATTGGAGATAAGAGTCTCATGTTCATTTTTCTACAGTTGCTGGCTTTAAACCAAAATCCTCAGATTTCAGCCTACAGAGTATCTAGGATTCCAAGCTTGAAGCAATGCAACCTATGTCAGGTTTGGCTTACAAATACACACTTTCACACTTTCACCTACTGATTTCCAGATCATACTGACAGTAGTAATGTATATTCTATCTAGAGTGTAGATCCACCTATAATAATCACCCCAAGTCTGGAAAGTCAGTCTCCTATTAGTGGATCATAGTTTAGAACTTTTGTCCAACTACTGATTAGAAATCTTAAAGACTGAGAATAAAATTAGCTCATGAGTTACACATAATGAAGTTGAAGTTTCCCTTAGGAAGAAATGACACTTCCCATGGACTGGAACCTTTTTTTTTTTTTAAACAAAATGTAATGGTCCAAAGGCTTACATTTCTAACCCTACATTTAGGAGGTAAGATCAGAAGAGGCAGGCTTGAAACCAACCTGGGCATGGAAACTCAGAATATACCCCAAAACAAAAGCCAAAATAGAGTTGTGGCTCAAGCAGTAGTGTGAAAGGCAAACAACATCAAGCTCCCAGACCTGAATTTGGCTGGCTTTTATACTAGCATTTTTTTTACAAGGGAATGGACTGGAATCTTATACCTAAATAACATAGTCAAATGTCTACTAAAATAAAAGCACTTGATCTTCCAAATAAAAGTGACCTTTGCTCACCCAAGGACATTAGGTTGTTATAAGTTTCCAGCATTACTTCTCTATGAAGGGTCCTCTGACCAGGATCCAGATCCTGCCACTCCTTCCAGGTAAAGTACACAGCCACATCATCAAATGACATCAGCTTCTGTAATGGCACATTTCCATCAAGAAATTAGACCTGGGTCAAGAGAATTCCAATCTGGAATTTCATTATGCTGCAGGTATGCTTTTGTCTTACATAAAATGTTTGCAGCTGGCTAAGTTATCTTTTCACTGGGAAAATTAAATAGCAAATTAGAAATATTTGACAATACATAAACCTGGCCACTAAAATACACAGATTTGCAGGGCACTGGTGGCTTATGCCTGTAATCCTAGCTATTGAGGAGGAAGAGCTCTGCGGATCAAGGTTCATGGCCAGCCCAGGCAGGAAAGTCCATGAGACACTTATCTCCAATAAACCACCAGAAAACTGAAAGTAGCACTGTGACTCAAGTGGTAGAGCACTCACCTTGACCTGAAGAGCTGATGGACAATAACCAGGCCGAGAATTCAGGCCCCAAGACCAATACAAAGTTACAGATTCCCTAATGCATGCAAACACATTTCTGCTGCTAGCAATAGAGACAAGATAAAAATTCTAAGGAGATAATAATCTGGCATGATGACATTAAGTCTAAGGTGGTGTCTAAAAAATTATATTATTATTTTTGATAAAATTTTAGTATATATCAGTAGGTAACAATGAATTAAACAAATATTTTCTCTGCATTTACATTTATTGCTTCACCATAAATCCTATTTAGACCTTCTATTAACAAGTACTCTAATAAGCAAGCAGAACACATTCAGGATATCAGCATACAAAACATAGAACATTACTAGATCAAAGAAAGGCAGTGTCCACATGAATGTTAAAAAAACAGTAACAGTACTCCAGAAAGTAGCTAATGATTTATTGGGACCTTAAAAGATTTGATTTAGTTCCCACATAAAAATATCCTAGGTTAACCATGTTTGGTTTAAATACTAAATATTGAAATATGGTCTTAGATACCCTGATATTTCTTCCTCTGTAAAAAAGAACTGGTACCATGAAGGTTTGTAAACTTTACCTACATTCTACAACACAAAATATATGTGGGAGGGGAATAAAATATACCTTGAGAAGATTTTCATTTTAATAAGCCTTCATGGAAGCTGGAGGCAAATAGATAGACTCAAAGAACACTCAAGATGACAAAAATGATAAATATGACCAAATGCTCAAATGTGTTAAACATTCCTGAGTCATTTTTCCAGTCGATCCCTAAAGATATATTTCCACTTTTGTTAGTTAATAGTGAAATTCTTCAGAGATCAAAATCAATTCCTAGCAAATATCTGTGAGATTTTACAACAAATGATATTTCTAATAGAGAAAAACTCATCACTGTATTATTTTTTTTTTATCTGAACTACCTATCTTATACTGGCAGTGAATGAAAATATTTAAAAGTAGTGGGATGGAAAAACAAAACTGAATACCACTACAAATGAAGTTAGACCAAAGATAACAGAATCAGGTGAAATCAAATTTTCTTGTAGTTTATCAGTTGGAGGAAGGACGTACTTTTCTGTATGGATCTCTGAAGTAGAGCTGAAGGGGAAAAAGATTTGAGAGGTTGGAATTCCAGCCGGACAGCACTGAGAGAACTGAGAGCTGGCCACAGAAGGGTCAAAAGAGAATTCTGGAGATGGTTAAGATATTGGAGTTCAGGCCTTTTCCTTAATGTTGGAAAGATAGCATCTGAAACTGAGCTGCTGTTCACCTTGAAGGCTAGGTAAGGTGAACTTCATGTCTGCATTTATTCTGGGCGCCAGTCTTCTGTCTCAGGAGAATAAGGAAACATGTTTTCTTCACAACCTGTTGTGGCTCAGATTGTAATATTAATATAGATACTTCAGTTTTGCATGTTATCAAAGGTAATCTTCCCTGTGTGAACTCAAGGAACTTTGCTTGCTTGCTGGCAACCACAGACCAAGTGCCAGAGAGGCTTCAGAACCCTGGTTTCCCCTAAGTTTATCTGTTTATGTTTTTGTGTTTCTCTAATTTTCTTTGTTTCTGGAATCCTGTAGAACTCTCTAGGCAACAATTTTCCTATACAATGGGTATGAAAAATGTCAATCGTAAGAGCCATGTCAGCAACATAAAGCTGATCACTAAGAAAAACCAGTTCCCAGATAGATCATTGAAGAAAAGAAAAAACTGAGGAAAGAGAGAATGAGAAAACTAAGAAAAAATGATTCAAAGATAGATACAAAGAGAGAGAAAGAGAAAAATAACCAACACAAGTGA